TAAGATCCAGAGGAGACCCTGATATACGGCGGACTCGTTCTTGGGAAAGTAGCAGGGCCTTCTCCGTGGTGGCAACCTAATTCTGGAACCCGCCCCTCTCCCCCCAAGGCAAAGTCTGCCCTCTCTGCCGTATCCTAGAGATCGGTCCAAGGCAGCGGTTTTGCCACCGGGCGTCTCAAATTTGGGTTAGCCGGTAGGGAGAGGTTATTTGTAGCTGCTGTCGTTAACATATCTAACAGTGTTAACGATATTAGCGATAATTAGGTTTATTTATGACTGCAGGAATAACTTGGACTTAATTAAATCATGTCTGTTTGTTGACGGCTGTTCGGGGGCCTTGGGAGCAGCCAAAGCACATTAAAGGAAAACTTTAAAATAGATGAATGAAACGAGGCCAAGTTTTGGGGAAAAGAGGGTAGAGATTTGGGGAAGGACTCAGGAGGAGGATTTTGGGGGGGGGTGTTGATTGACAGAAGGGGTGGCCGCCTTCGTCAAAGAGATTGGCGCCGAAAATAGGCCGTCGATTCAAGACAGACCAAAGGGAGAACCAGGGTGGTGCAGTAGTTAAAAGGGTTAAATGGTTTGAATCCCTGCTCTGCCTCAGGAGCTCGCTGGGTGACCTTGGGCCAGTCACACGCTAACTGCTGGACCTCCTGATGGCACCTGGTATTTATGGCCACTGTGTGACACAGAGGGTTGGGCTGGATGGGCCATTGGCCTGATCCAACATTGGCTTCTCTTATGTTCTTATGTCTGGGGCAAAGGATGCTCTGTGTTCTTGGTGCTTGGGGACGCAACAGTAGGAGGGCTCCTAGTGTCCTGGCCCCACTGCTGGACCTCCTGATGGCACCTGGTATTTATGGCCACTGTGTGACACAGAGGGTTGGGCTGGATGGGCCATTGGCCTGATCCAACATTGGCTTCTCTTATGTTCTTATGTCTGGGGCAAAGGATGCTCTGTGTTCTTGGTGCTTGGGGACGCAACAGTAGGAGGGCTCCTAGTGTCCTGGCCCCACTGCTGGACCTCCTGATGGCACCTGGTATTTATGGCCACTGTGTGACACAGAGGGTTGGGCTGGATGGGCCATTGGCCTGATCCAACACTGGCTTCTCTTAAGTTCTTATGTTCTTAACCTACCTCACAGGGTTGTTGTGATGATAAAATGGAGAAGAGGAGAACGACGTACGCTGCTTTGGGTCCCCACTGGGAAGAAAGGCGGGGTAAAAATGGAGT